CTTAAATTATGAAAGCTGCAGGCTGGACTAATTCTAGAACTTTTCAACGTTTTTATGATGTGCCAAATAATGATGATAACGAAGCGAATGCTTTTCTTACAACTGTTTTAAATCTAAACAGTTAAATTATGTTTTACTTTTATCATGTTTAGGCATAGGAAGATGCCTTGTGATTGGTAACAGTACGTTGTAGTATACATTGTTTTATTAAGAGTGCTTAATTACAATTACTTTTGTATTTCGGAAAAGAGTTCTGAATTGTCACAGTAGCTTGTGTTCTGAATTTGCAGACAGTTAACTCTTTGTAATTTGGTTTTGGTCTTATAGTATTTGAACGGGATCTTTTGGTGTTTTCTTGTGTTCTGCTTTCAAGGCAATCTTTGAAATCTCCTTTTATTCCGACTGAAGGTTGACAGGATAAAATTGATAAATTAAATGAGACTTACCTGTAAGGTGAAGTTTGATTAAAATTTTATCCGGTCATCTTCTTCAGGAGGGATTAAAGGTGAGATGTTCCCTCTCTGCTCTTATGTAATATATTGTCTTTGTGTGCTGTTGGCATGTAATGCACTACTTTGAATACTGATGATCAGTATGCTAATCTCCTTTAATCCCTTTTGAAGATGACGGATAAAATTGTTATCAAACTTTACCTTACAGGTAAGTCCCGTTCAATTTATCAATTTTAGAAGAACAATCACTTATAAGATGTCATAAGAAATCTATTCAATATTGTCACTGAATTCTTGAATCCATGGTGTCATTAAACTACGTTGACATTATTCGACCGATGTTATTATTAAATCCTATGGCAATTTAGAATTTAAATATGTTTCACAATTTGCTGAATTACAATGTACTTGCTACAGGTCCAACGAAATGAACAACAGTTCGACGACACTTCACATGACGCTGTACATTTTATTTTTAAATCCTGCAGATCAAACACGTGCTAGGTAAAATATGCGTGTACATGGAATTATACTCTTCAAAATAAGTAGGGGATATTGAAATGCAAATTGAGATATGAAAAAGTCATGGACACTTGACATGCTTTGAGAGAATGTTGCAGATAAAGAACTTACCGCCCCAACAGAACCACAGAGGGGTTCATTGCCAAATTTGACACTTCAAGGACGGGTTGATGAAAACTGCCGCGTTCTGGTTCATCCTATCCATGTTGGCTTTCCTATCGGTTCTTGGATACGATTTACTGTTTAGCGTATCTTTGCTTTAGTCTGTTACGTTTAATTTGCAATGTTAGTCCCGAAATGACCTAGTCTGTGTCGAGTGGACGTTAAACCCCATTTCTCTCTCTCTTAATTTGCAATGAGACGTCTTCATTATGATGAACGTCTACGTGCTATTGGCCTGTTTCAGCGAGCAGTAGCCAACATGCTTAATGTGTCATAGTCTGTGATCAGCAGACTGTGGAACCGGTACCAATAAACACACAATGCTGATGATAGACCTCGTTCATGTCGTCCTAGAGCCACTACACAAGCCCAGGATTAATACATTCGTTCACAGGTCCTGCAAAATCGAGGACAAACGGCCAATCAGCTTTCTGTAAACTTGTACCAAGTTACAGAATTCGAGTTACACCCCAAACGATTAGAAATCGGCTACATGCAGCCCATTTGGATGCGCGACGACCACGTGTTGTGCCTCCATTAACTCGCCAGCACATGGCAAACAGGCGTCAACGGTGTAGGCAGCGTAGAAATTGGGGGTAATGGTCGATGGGCGCGTGTAATGTTCTCAGATGAGTCCAGATTTACTCTGGGTTTCACCGATAGGCGTGCTCGCGTTTGGGGGCGTGTAAATGAGTGTCATGTTAACGTCAGACAGCATGACAGATTCGAGTGTGGGGAGGAATCACCATGACTGGCAGAATGGACTTGCATATTGTTCAAGGGAGGGTCACTGGTGTGTACTACCGTGACCACATCCTGGCACCGATAGTTCTGCCCTTTGCTCAACGTGCAGGTCGACGTTTCATCTTTCAAGATAATATGGCTCGTGTCGTGACTACCTCCAGCTTCACCATATTGTCCATATGCCTTGGCCAGCCATGAGTCCCAACCCTTTGCCTATAGAGTATGCCTGGGACATGATCGGGAGACGTGTTCGTCAACATCAACCGAAAACACTGCAAGAATTGGCCGTGGCACTGCAAGAGGGGTGGGTCAGATTGCCCCAAATCGTGATTGGACGGTTGATTATGAGCATGTCTGAGGATTGGTAGAGCAATTACTCATTATTAAGACAAACATCAAAAACGTCCATTTTCACTTTTGACAGTGTATCTCTTTGCGAGAGAAATGGGACTGTCAGATAAGCCGCCCATATAAACTGTTTATGTTCATGTGTAGGCAGTTGGCCTGTTATGAACATACACTCGTAACCTCTAATAAAAACAGCAGTGCATTTCCGCAGTTTTGTATTGTTTCTGAATATCCCCTACTTTTTTGAAGAGGATATATAGATCAATACATGTTTAAATGAAGATGGGCCAGCGACGGGGCGTGGTTGGTCATAAACAATGGCCTGCCACCACATTTTCTTACTTTTGTGGATAGTTCATTTAAAACCTGTGCATGGCCGTTTACGAACGAAGCTAGTTGACAGGGACATTCTTTGGAACATGCTAGAAGAACGGGGTAGAAATGTTGTTTGGGGCTTTTGGCCGGGAAAACGCCCCTTTTGGACCATTCGACTTTCTACTGCCATCTCTCAGAAGTTCATGACCTCACATTGATGACGCTCATTCGGAATCACTGGGTTGTTCTAGGTTATCAAGGAGTTGTTTTGACGAGGACGATCAAGTTTGTGGACATAAACCCCTTCACAGGGTAAATGTTATTCTTATCGTTGACTTATTGACATGGAGATATGGCGAATGTTTAATCGAAAACATTTGTGTTTGCACATTCTCAAGTAGCTTTTAATGAATTTATTAATATAATTATAGGTAAAGGGATATTTCATCGACTGTCTTAGTTATACATTTCTTTGTTCTATCTATTGTATAAGGAACATGTTTCTTTTTCATAGCTATTTAAGTAGTGACGAGTGTCATGCGCTAGACAGTGTATGATTCACATATCGGAACATCTGACACTACTTTGTCAATTTCTTTGGCTGGTTTACAATATTTTATCACTTGGCTGGTTAATCTGACAAATTCGATATCATTTACCCTTTAGTTCTGTCGATTTTGAGCCACCCCTCCCCCAAGTTGTTGCCCTTGCAAGCCTGTAAATGCAATGGAGCCTAACAGTTGTGGCAATTACATGCAGCATTTGACAATCGCTGGCCATTTTAACGCACCTGAACGACTGGAGACAATTTGGCAAACCGACCCATCTCAATATAGGTAGTGCAATAGGATAAGGACATTTACATTTCCTCATATTATACAAGTCTGGAGGCTCAGTACGGGAAGGTGTCGCATCAAAATAAGACACAACTTTTCTATAGTATTTTTTGGCGTAGAATGATGCGGGGTGGTTAAAGGTCAGATGAGGTCACTTAGACTGAAAGTGAATACGCAGCCATTCTTGTATCACGAAAACATGCCGAAAATGATCACTCTTTCAATAGAAATGTAAATGTGCTAAATTGACCTTTCTTCTTTCTCCCCAGAGGTCAATAAGTCAAATTTTCCATTTTTGCACTTGGAAGATTTAACACAATATACGTTTGCGTAAAATATAAAAACTAAAGAGGAACCTGTTCTAATTAATAATAAGAACATTTGAAATTCATCTTAAGGGTGTCTCAGCACCATACTTTTATTTTGGAATGTCGAAAAACATCTTGCATGACAGGATCAAAAAACTTCGAACCACGATTTGTACAAACTGGCAAATAGAAATCTCCCCGAAACAAGCTGACCGAAAAACAATTGAATAGTTTCATAGTTGCACTCCAGCCCGCAGCCCGCAACCCGCTTGGATTTCTGAGAATCCTTATCTGGGAAAATCTGTGACCGGGAAACCCTATCTGACGACGTGATCAAAAGTGTGAAAATATTTCCTGAATTTCACGGGAATATCGACACAGATAAAACAGACGAATTCATTGTACATTTTAGCTCACGGAATACAAATGCCGTATTGATAAATGTTACCGGGGAAAAGCTTGACACTGACAGGCTTCGTGACGCGAAGGAAGAGCGTGTTGAATTGGGCCAGCAACATCATCATACATATAATCAACGGGCACTCAGAATCCCTGGCCATGGATGTTATTCACACAGTTAACAAGTTCATGATAAACATTGCAAACAATTCACCATGGGGATTTCTATTCTCAGTTCACGAAACATGGAAATCTGGTACTGAAGCCATCGGTTCATCAGATGACTTGCGGCTGCTACTGTAGTAGCGCCGATGCATGGAAAATTCCTTTGCTATCAGGTCTACACCCAAAAACATGACAATTCACTAAATATAAGATGATCATGTCCAAGGTAAGGCATGCACATCTCATTTAAAATGTGGTTGAACGTCCTACCTTTTTAGTCGGTCAGTACCGTTCGTCGCCGAATTTCAACAGACAGGGGTTATTTGCATGGCAACGGGTATATGTGCAACGTTGAAGGAATAACCACGTTAAGGGTATAGTGAGCTTGGTATCTCTGCCACCAGTGATAATTCCTGCTGATCACAAGCCACCGGCGTGCAAGGACCAGCTAAAAAAACTAGTCATTGGCGGTGTTTTTGCTGAAACAAAGATAAGCTTCACCGTAGAAATAAAAGAATAATAATTCAATTTTCAAACCTTTATGTCACGCGTTACCCATCTCCGTTCGCAAACCGATGCGAAATTAGACGTCATAAAAAATGTGTAAATGCGAAATTATACGGGATAAAAAATGTGTGGTAGGAGACCCTTGGTTATTATCACTGATCTCAATCCGACTCTGCATACACACATTCTATATATATATATAGTTTCGTGGGCTCGCATAATTCATCTAGCACCTTTGAAAGATTTACAAATAAACACTTCACTGATAGTCGCTGCAATTCTCCCATTTAATACTACTACGAGGTGCTGGTGTTATGTTACCTATAACAAATGCATTGGAATTCAGCAATTTGTGGAACATATTGGAAGTTGGCGATTGCCAGAGGATCAAATAAAATCAGAGGAATTACGTCTGTGTAGTTTGATTTAAACCAAGCGTTCACGCACTATTGACAAAGTGAATACGGATTATTTTATGTGGACATTGGCCATCTTTTCAGAAAGTGTCCATCTACAATTACAATTTTAGGTTAACGTGATTCTAAACGGCAGTACTAAGAACGACTTCAGGACTGAAATACAGAAATATGGCAGTAAAGGGAACGGAAGTTGATACGGTTCTCAATACATTGGGGGGAAAGGGATTATATCAACAAGTTCATCATCTCCTTATCGCTTTAACTGCATTTTCTGCTGCTTTTCAACTACTGGATATGATCTTCATTGGTAGGTTGCGTATTTGTAAAATGGTATGATGAATAGCTTTTTCTCGCGTTCATTTGAGGACTGCTTTTTGGGATATTTGTAAATGTGCATTATTATTAAAATGATATTTATACAGCGCCTATCTCCACCACAGGGCGTAGAATCATAGTACGTCCAATCTCATCTCATTTCATCTTCCACCACAGGGCAATGCTCAAAGGCACTTGAACATGAATTGAAATAATATAAAAATTAAATGTGCATAAAGTCTGTCGGCGATTAAAACCTCGTATATCGGATTTGAGTAAGTTTTCAGTAGGGACAAAAAAATGTCTGCGACACCGGCTTTTATTTATTGAATGTGATTATATTTCTAATTTATGAACTAAATTGTGGAAAACATAATACGAGAAGGTTATTTTGGGGATAAGTTAGGGGTATATGGGCTATGGCTATATACGACGTTCTGCGCTGGGTAAGTTACCCGGAATCATGATATCCACTACACAATTCCGGGTAAGTTACCCGGGGTCGTGATATTCGCTACAAAATTCAGGATAGTTATCCCTTACAATGATATCCACAAACCTATAGGGCCATAATTTTCACGATATAATTCCGGACAAGTACCCTGAGCCATAATATCCACGACATAATTCATGATAAGTTACCTAGGGTCATAGCATCTACTACAGGCAAGTTTTCTATTAGGTAATAGCCTTGGGTCGGTTTTTAGTAGGTAAGTATAGCCTTAGATCGGGAGATACTGACCACACAACCTAAGATAAGATATCAAGGGTCGTGATATTTCCTCCTTAAACATACGTTATAAATAAAACCCAAGGCACGTTCAGCCAGGTGGATAGAATATATTAGAGAAAAGTTATCAAATTAGACTTTTTCACACTTATTTATTTTATATTGTATTGATAATACATGTAATTAGCAATTGTAATAAATCTTCTAGTTCTAATCATGACTCAATTGATCATAAAATGCGTGATAATCTCCTTTTTCAAGAGGAGGTTTGATGGTCGAATGGTTTCCTCCCACTGCTAAAGACCCTTACGCGCAAGCAAATTATTGAAATAAAATTTGAACTCCATTTCTCCCTATCACCTTTCTCAATTCCCGAAGATGTTGATAAATCACATTTTATATTAAGAGGTTCTTGAATTAATTGTTAAACTTCGTCGTTTTGGTTTTCTTGGCAGAAACCGGTACTCGTCTTTATAATTTAATTTATATAATATTTCGCCTCTAGGGAGATACTTAAGAACTCTCAAAATTGTTACTATTGGATTGATTCCACGTCCGAATATAACCTCGGATAAACAAATGTGATTTGCAAGAATACATCTTTGACAATAAGAAAACATAAAAGAATATATCTAATTTTTCTGATTTTAATCACCATTATGAAAAAAATTCTAAGTAGTCAACTTAAGTGTAAAGGTGCAGTCAGAAACACAATTCAACATTGTGCTTGAAGATGAAAAATGGCATTTAGATTCCACAGATGACATTGATAACACAAATCATCAATAGCGGGTAAACCCATCACGTTGTTTATAAACTACACGGATCTATTTTTAGTTTCAAATGAGCAGCAGAAATCATATTGATCTTTCTTCGGGGTAAAGATAGGTTCATATCTTCAAATGCCTGCCGAAAGCTCTTTCGGTTTTTACCCGGGTGGTCTTCGCGCGTAGGCAGTAACTCGCAAATTCTTTATACAAGGACATAAATGTTGTGAAGACTAGATCTAGGTACATCTTGCCTGACGATAATTATAGTTGTAATGGAACGGCAAGCATGAACCAGTGTTTTAGTTGCATCTTGTGAAATGTATTTTCTAATTTAAGTTGCATTGTTAAAATGAGTATAGCAGCATTTACATACCGTAAAAGAACTTACATTGTTAAAATGAGTATAGCAGCTTTTACATACCGTAAAAGAACTCTTGGCAGTTGGAATTCGATATAAGAGTAGGCCGTAGCGCCGCTGCCCGGGCAAAATTTCCCTCATAGCACACTGTATGGCGTATGCCCGTCTTCATTAGCCCACACTGAAAAAAAACTTGTGTTGAAAGAACACAAACTTGTGTTATTTTCAACACAAGTTAGGTGTCTCTATTTAACAACACAATCTTGTGTTAAATGTTGAAACAACACAAAACTTGTGTTAAATGTTGAAACAACACAAAACTTATGTGAAAATCTACACATTATTTGTGTTGAAATTTCTGAAACTTGTTTGTGTTGAAATTTCTGAAACTCGTGTTGTTTCGTACAAACTTGTGTATAACAAAAACTTGTGTTGTATTTTACCAATTTATATCCAGTATAACAACCTTTCGAATGCAACCCCTTCCATTCGTTCTGTTTAAACTGTAATTATTGATAAATGACATAATAATTTGGTTTGTTAAATTATTATTTATTCAATAAATGATATGAAAAAATAAATTAATACCTAATTAATACCAACAGACATCTCGAAGGTTAATAAACAAAGTTAATTCCAATACTAATAAAATTGTGTTATACAATGAAAAAATACCCACCCCCCATTCCCAATTATTAAATAAAAAGTAGCTATTTAAATTGAAAAATAAAGCACCGAGACATTTGGAATATTAATCAAAAAAGTTAATTTCAATACTAATAAAATTGTGTTCAATAATAACAATATCCCCCCACCCCTCAAAAAAAGCTATTTAATTTTTTTTTACAATTAACCTTAAAAAGAACTGAGAATATAATATATATGTTCACAATATCCCTACCCCATGGTCCCAAAACATACATTTTAAATATATCTAAATTTAATATCAACCAAACCAAGCACTAAAGACATTAATAATGCACTAAATTGAAATACTTTTAAGAAAAAATAGTCCCTTTAACAGATTAGGAATTCAAAATTTTCTACAGTATATAAATGGGAACTAATAGATAAAGCACAGGCAAATAATTATAGATAGATAAAATAAATATAGCATAAAAATCAAACAAAATGGAGAAAATTAAAAATTTGTAAAACAAAAATTGATTAATTAATAAAACCATTTTATATAAAAGAGGCATTAACATTCGAAATGTTCACTAAATGTTTAAAAATAAAGGTTGATTTCATCCTACAATAATACATTTTTATAATTATCGAATGTTACTATTAATTATTGATGATCCCTCTATATTATTTCAAATTTTCAGGCCAAATCTTTAGTGTTTAGGATTACACTGCATTATATATAATGAAACAATATTAGAGATGGTTTGGTATTTGACATTAAAAAAAAAAATGTGATTAAAAAGGCAATGGTGACATATAACTTTTGGGTTTCCACAATAAGATCTGTAAAAGAATTTGATGACTTTATATTCAGAATTTAGAGTTGTTTTCTTTCTTTGGTATTAATATTCACTAAATAGATATAATTCTCCAAGGATGTTCAAGTGATTATTATAAATACACTTATCGACAAATGGGGTTTTGATGTGGATTTAACTTGGTACACCAGTCATGGGTATAGAGTTGAAAAGAGCATAATTTAACAATATATTATATTATTTTGAGACTCGTATGTATGACTACATGCGAATGCAAGAGGGGGGGGGGGGGTATTTTAGTCAGGTAGCATTATTGCTTACTCATGTACACCAAAAACACGTCATCTCGCCTAAACAGATGTTTTACGCCAAAACGCTTCAACTTGATTGATTGCCATGTTTTTGGTGTAGATTTATATCTTTTCTTGGGCGCCGAATCGAACTACGGCTTTTAAAATGTTCAAAAATCGACGTAAATTGATTTTTTCAACGATAGTTGGCATACAACGATGAGCACATGAGTGAGTAGACTGTGGGAAAGTTACGACAACTCATTTCCAGGCGCCATTTTGGGTCCCAATTATGACGCCATAAAAGCTATGACGTCATGGCTTCATACAGGTTTACATACCAAAATTTGTTTTTTTCTTGCAGTATTAGGCGTTGAGGGATAATATAACGTTTTACCCTAAAAAAAAATGCAAAAGAAACCAATGCAGTTTGGTTCAGTGATAAATATATCAAACAAAATCATACCCAAAATCTGGGAATTTTCTGAGAGCGATATCTCGTAATCAGTGTGTTTTACTATTTACTCGTTGGATTATAAATGATTTCTTTTTAAATTCCTCAAACACAGAGTGGTTATGCAAGCGAAATGTGCCGAAAAATCGAATTTGACAAACGTCAAATCAAAAAAAAGAAGTATTTGTTATATGGTGCCGGGCGTTTCTTTCATAATGGCCGCCAAATTTGGTAATATTATTATTATTATTATTATTACAGCATATTTATAGCGCGCCCTTTCATAAAACATGTTCAGGGGCACTTTACAAAGTGACAATGTAATCATAAATAAACAACAAGATTATGGACATGTTAACAATTGTATACAGAGTCAGTTAAAAGCCTCATTAAATAAATGTGATTTAAGTTGGTTTTTTAAAAGAATATAGAGATGTACAAGATCTTAAACTAAATGGTAGATTATCCCATAAAACAGGTGCTTGATAACTAAAAGAGACTAGTTGAATAGTTTTGGGCTTTAAAAATAGTTTATCTGATGTACGTAATATTCGACCATTATATCGTGGTTATGTACGCGAAATGTGCGGAATCGAATTTGACAAACATCAATTAAAGAAATGTATTTTCCATGTGGTGCCGGGCATTTCTTTTAAAAGGGCTACCGAATTTGGTAATACATGTATAAGGCAATTTAACAAAAAAAACATAAATTTGGTAGACTAAAAGGGCATCTCTTAAGATACGTAAGATATGACTTTTGCAATGTCCTTTATATGGTTTTCGATGTCTCTGAATTTGAAGATAAATTTTGAAATTACAAAATAGCAGCAACACCAATTGGCGGATATTAAATTAATCGTCATTTTTCCTGTTGGATATTAGATAGTGTCTCTTAAGCATGATGTACACTGTAGTTCGATGTACCCTGTAGTTTAGATA